GCCATTGGAAACGTGTCAGTGGGTACAGCCCTTCCCTTGCAACTCAGTGAAGAACTAGAATTGTTAGTGGAACCCGATGGTACAACATAATCCCAACAGCAAGAATTATAGTCCAGAGGTACTGATTCAATGGAAGGACTTGCCCAGCTTTGAGGCAATGGGAACCCTATGAATTAATACAGCAGCAGTTCCCCTTTTCACCTTGAGGACTAGGCGAGTGCTTGGGGAGGGAGTATTGATAAACCTCCTATTTTTTATACATATTCGTGCAGGGGAAAGAAGAAGGATGCTAGTGGCACGGTAGGCGATCAATGGGAAGAGCTGTGAGCTGCACCAGTCATTCGGCTCCAGAAGGTTCTATTGGTGGTTACAAGCAGCAGTTACAGGAGGGTAGTTGGGTATTTGGTTAAGAGGCAGTTGGCTAGTTTAATATTTTTATTAGGAGGCAGTTGGTACTCAAGAATAATAAGAGATGGCAGGCTTAAAAAAAAGGGGGAAAGGTAGAGTCCTGTAGGAGAGAACCAACCTCTCAAAAGTTGGTATTTTTCGTGTAATGTCCTTTTCATAGTTGTAGTGATTTGTAATAAAGTAAACAGTGTTTTCTTTCTAATTTCCATCTTTTCTCACTCAATACATACATATCAGCACATTATACAGCACATACCTCTGTTTCTTTCTTTCAGTATATATACAGCACTTATTATCCAACAGCAACATATCAGAAAGAGAAGATATTCTTTGGATCTTGAGCATAATTTAAGTTCATGAACCATTTGCTGTTTCTTTTAGGAATGGGGAGACCTTTCAATGCTGGCAACAATAACTCGTGTTGCTGCCCAGGTATTAGCTTCTGAAAATTTTAGCAGTGACATTACATTCTGTTCTTCAAATAATATGAGCTAGATATAACAAAAAAAACTTTATTTATTGCATCAGTGCTACAACCTCCATGGAGAGTCACAAGTGGAGCCATCATAGGACACATGCTAGCCACATCAATTTCAATATTCGGAGGTGCATCTCTTGCCAACTACATTTCTGAGAAACTGGTAAAACAAAAAACAGAAATTGATCCTATATAGAAGGACAAATTTATTTACATGATTTATTCCACTTATTTTGAATCAGGTTGGTTACATTGGTGGAACGTTATTAATAGTTTTTGGTGTTGCCACATTCTTTGGAGTCTTTTAGCTAATTGTTGGAAACAAGGACTAAAGAGAAAAAAAAAATGCATTTTGGAGCAGATAAGGATTCTGGGACTCCAGACATTTGTGGAAAATGGTTCTTTGGTAAGAACTAATATCATTTTCTTAATGTATTTTACAAGTAGATAAGAATGTTCTATGTGGGGATCTACCAGGAACCCACTTTTGTTATGATATTATGTACTAGCTCTTGATCCGGTTAAATTGTAAAATGTAAATTTTTTCATATACTCCCATTCAATAACTAACTTTGAATTCTTCCCCACTATTGGAAGCCGGCATATTTGATTACACAGGAAAAGTGAGTTGTGTTATTAATCCTCCCTACTTCTTACGTGTCTTGACGATTACATATGAGCAAAAAAACTATCCTTTTCTGTGAGTACCTGTAGATATTTATCTGAAATAAACCTTAATACCAGAAGTCAAATAATTTGTAGCTTGAATTCAAATGGAATTTTAGTGGGAAATTAATAGAAAGGATGACCTTAGCATTTACAGGTGTTGTATAGTTGAAATTCAAAATGAACTAGTTCAATTTCTGATACTTCAATCTATTCTGCTGATTGAATAATTGTTTAATAACATTTTTTTTACGATAGGATGTACTCAAATTTATTACATGTATAAAATCTTGTTCATTATATTGCAGAATCATCTAATTATGGCATCCCTTCTGATGGTAAAATGCACCAACTGACCTACAATTATTTGGGTTAAAAAGAGAACCTTTATCCTCTTATTTTTTTATTTTGTGGCCATAATATAACTAGCAAGGTGCCCAGTCCCACACACTATTTCTTGTTCTCTTCTTCCAAACCAAAAACTTGCAATTGCATGTGATCACTGAATTATAATGGCTACTGGTGAGGAGACAAAACAATGCTCCCTCAAAAGCCCTTCCCACTATAGAGACATATCAAGTGTTCCATTGCAAGAAACTTCTTTTCTACCTTTTTATTTATTTATTTTTTTGGGTTCTGAGAATATAACCATTTAATGAGCCCAGTCCAGCCCAGCAAGCAATGGCTTTTTAGCTGTTGCAAGCTTTCGTATGTAGCTGTTGGCTTATGATTTCCCCCTTCATTTGCTTGGCTCCTTTTTCCGAGAAAGACTTTAGCTAGCCTGTCCTATATACATACGTGGTAAGATCGTCTGCTCAAATCACGACACTTTGGATCACGAACCATTCATATCACGACAGCTAGGACGCCGAGTGGATCAATCACCACTCAATTTCTCTCTCTTACCCACTCAGCACTAGAGATGTCTTGATTTTAGTGGACGGTCATACCACGGTGCATATAAGATGTCCCACTGAAGTTTTTCTCCCGTCCGCCTCAGAATGCTTAATGCCTATAGTGCTAAAAGTTAACCTTAGAAGCTCAGTCTTTTGAGTGTCAGTTTCAACGCGAAGGGCATGATTATACAATTTATTAATCATAAACGCTAAATAGTAGAACTTCTTACACATTTATCTCACAATGAGTACAAGGACAGAAAGGGCTAGCTGTGTATTGTATAATATTTTCTGCATGTTCCCTATGTGCATTATTCAGTTAATCCCGTACTGTTCATGGGTCCTTCAATTTGTGTCTCTATATGGAAATGTCACTGAATATAAGACTATAGTGCCCTTGTCTTTCTTTCTTGCTGTGTTTGCGTGGGTGTGGGGGTGGAATATTTTATACTTATCCCAAGTTGCTATTATCATAACAGTGTTGTAGCCTCAACAACCATACATAACACGCATATATACTTGTACAGTATGGCATAAACTAGTTATTTCCCTTCATTTTGTTCCTCAAATAATGTTTCCACAAATAGACAATGCTATTTAGAGCTGTTATTTTTCGTACAGAGAAGAAAACGTAAATTCTTGGTTCATCGAGAAACTCAGAGATGGAAGAAGACAACATTAATGACATCTACAGAGAGTGTTTAAGAAACCATGCAGCCACACTTGGTAGCTATGCAACTGATGGCTGTGGACAATTTACCCTGGACAACACTTCTGCGGTTGGCCTACGCTGCGCTGCATGTGGCTGCCACCGCAACTTCCATCGGAAAATCACCTACGGAGCAAGTTACAGTAGCCGGGGCTTGGGACATGAGATAGGGGCAGAGATGATGGAATATGGCGGAGGTGGAGGTGGTGGAGGAGGGCAGGTTGTGCAATCGCCAGAATCAGAGCGAATCAGCAAGAAGAGATTTAGGACTAAGTTCACAGAAGAACAAAAGGAGAAAATGCTGGAATTCGCTGAGAAGTTGGGTTGGAAGTTGCAGAGGAAAGATGAAGAAGATGAAACCGAGAGGTTTTGCAGAGGGATTGGAATTAGTAGGAAAATTTTCAAAGTGTGGATGCATAATCACAAAAATTCTTCCTCTGCTTCTGCATCCACTGCCAATGCATCTTCTCTTACTCAGTAACTTGAAAGGAGGTCTCGTTCTGGTTTTTCTACGACTGCGCGCTCGCCTAAAAATGACCTTTTTATCCCTTTATTTCTTAGTTTCGTTTTTAACGTCTGTATTATGTAGTTTTTCTACAATAACAAAGGATGAATTTTATTTCCCATATTCTTGTATGATTTTTGCTCCATTGAGAACATTGGTTTTTCCCTATGGAATTTGAGGCCATTTGAAAATATATAATCGAGATTGACTGCCTTGGAGATGAACTGAGGCCCTCTGAAAATATATCATCGAGATTGTTTAACGAGATGATGAATTTGTTCGAAGGAGAGGAATTTATTTTATGGTTCATCCCTGTCCACACATTGTGTATAGTAGATAGAGATACAAGTGACAAAAACTCATAATATCGCTTAACAAGCATTATTCTCATAAATTCATCATTATTCACTTGATCATCACCAATACTCGTAGTGGCGGCTAGATTTTAGTTTTAGGAGGTGAAAAAATGTTGGGTGAACAAAATGTACATGTTTATCATTTTCCACAATTTTAGAAAATTTTAAAATTATTGTCGGGGCAGACGCCTCAGATGCACAATCACTCTACCACTGTATTCACATCGACTTTTCATATCATATCATATCATTTTACTTCTCCATGTTAACTTCTCTCCGAGATTGATAATTGCATGATGAATTTGCAATATTTGTAAATATCAAGTACGCGACACCTTAGAGTGAAAATCAACTTCTAAAAGCTTATAGTAAAATATGGATTGCCTTTGCCAAATCGAGAATTGTTTGGTTAGATTATGTACGGATTAGGGAGTTTAAAGTTTGAGTACTTGTAAGAAAGGTCTATCAAAGAAGGAACATATGGAAACATAAATGGAACTGGAAGTTTGCGTACGAATTGAGAAAAATTGAAAGTTTGAGTACCTATATGAAACAGGACTAGAAGTTTAGGCACGATTTCTACTTTACAAAACTAAAAGCATTAAGGGCATGTTTGGCATTTGATGTATTAGACTGAATAAGGATAAATTAATCTTATTTCATCCTTAACGGCATTTGAATGCAACTTACACCTTGATTAAATTAATCCGGGATAGTTTTCCTTTTTAATCAGTCATATCAATTTTTACGTCATATGAGACGAGTTTAAATCATATTATTTTCACACCATTTTATGAATTAAGAAAAAAATAGTTAAATTGAACTACACATTTTACTTTTAAGTAAATTATAAATTAATTTTTTACCTGTAAAACCACCTAATTTACACCAGTAAATCAGAAAAAATATTTCACTTACTAGTAAAATAATAACTTATAGATAAAAAAAAAAAAAAAACTTATAAGCAAAATCATTTGTAAGCTTAGAATTCAATAATAAGCCCACGTTTGGTGCGCATTGTGCCAAAAGAATGCATTGAATCTTTCAAATCATGCACAGTAGATTCAATGAATGACCTGCATACCAATTGACTTATATGCCATTATTCCAATTTTGCCCCTCCATGACAAGAGTTACACCACAATTATTGCAATAGTATTGACCACGATAAATGACTGACAACAGTGGAAATTGATTTCAAAGCTATTCAATTTTATAAAATTTCCGGTCTTCGACAAATTATGAATACTTTTCATTTTCCACTACATGAACTAAGAAAATTGTTAGGAAACCTGCAGCATTACTCTTTGAAACACATTACTGCGTGTAACAAATGGATTGAACGACTTTCCAACGCGAGAACACTTCTTAAATATTGAGACGTACGGGTGCACTCAATTTTCAAACCAAAAAAAAAAAAACCATTTCATTATTGTTGTACCATATAATCGCGAAATATGTCCCAATCACTTCGCTGCATTTTCGGAGCATTCATTTCAGCATGCATTTCGTCCTCAACGGTTGGTAGCTCCGCCACGAAAGCATCCTCATCTGTTTCAACCGTAGCTAACGCCTCATCCACAACTCCAAAACGACGCAGAAAATTATAAATACCCATCGTCGCAACAACAATGGCAACTTGAGTGCGAAACGAATAGTTGGGCATACGATCGAGGATTTGTCATCTTTCCTTCCACACACCAAACACACGTTCGATTACATTCCTACATGAAGAGTGTTTGTAGTTAAACCTCTCACGAACATTACGAAAACGAAGACGACGACCTATTCCATCATCGCGAAACTCTTGAAAATGGTACAAGATATTCGATCCTTTGTAAGGGGTCATATATCCCGGTCGATGTGCAAATCCCGAGTCTACCAAATAATACTTTCCCGATGCTGGTTCTGGGAAATGAATTTCTGGACTATGTATAGCGCGAGCCGGTATACGAACATCGTGCGTATTCCCGGTTGTGCCAGCAAGCACGAAAGTAAAGCACAAAGTAAAGTCACAAACCGCCAACACATTTTGAGTTGGCACTCCATTTCGGCCAATTAAGTTCACCCGCTTGTGACGCGGAAGCACAACTTTCACATGCGTTCCATCTATGTCACATATGCAATCTTGAAACAAGGGATGCTTATTCGGGTCTGGCCTGGGGATCTGCACCCTCGTTGTAGTTCGGTCTGACTATATGAGTCGAGCAGATAACGCAACGACGACACAGAGAACCTCCTTGAAGTAGTAACATACTGTTTGTAATGAATAATTGAAAATTGTCGTCACCTGCCAGTAACCCTTTCCATGCTCTAATATGCACAAGAACATACCGACCTGCTCATATATATCGACTTGTTAGCTACTGCGTAAGCTGTATTCGTCCCTCAGGATATGTACAAAGTGTCGTAATAGCTGTGGGTACATCCGGAACTCTTGATAACACATTTGTGTATTCTCCTCCATTGTTTCCTTCATAAACATATGGTCGTTTCTAGCGTAAGGAAATCGTCGGATGCGACGTTGTTGTTTGCGATAGCAGTTTCTCGCGTCCTTGATACGATTCGACAATAGGTTACCCATTTAATGACGTCATCGGCCAGTTGGATAACAAACTCTTCATCATCGACTTCTTCTTCGTCTTCGGATCTCGATTGAAGAGCACAGCTAAAGTCGAGATAGTCCATGATATAATTGTAGGCTACATGTTTTTGCTAGTAAGTTTGGCTAAAATGAGAAGATATTGACACCTCGTAAAAGTGGAAAGATATGTTACTATCATAGCAATCATCCCAAGTAGTATTATACACACAAGTTTAGACTGTTGGCACATGTTTTTTGTTTCATGAAATTTCGAATCTATGTTCGTACATGACAAGAAAAAATAAAGGCTAATTGTACTGTGACACATGTGAACCTTTTTCATACTTTTCTGCTCTCCAGTAGCTATTACTCACATGACAGATTGTAAAATTTTTAAAAGTACAGACCAATACATATTATACAAACATAAAACTACAAATCTCAAAAAGTAATACCCAAACAAAAAAAAAAAAAAAATGTAGGAGGTGATTATAGAAAGAAAGGAGAAAAAAATAAAAAAAAAAAAAAATTAAAAAAAAAAACCCAAACAAAAAAAAAAAAAAAAAACAAGAAAATGCGAAAACAACTGTAGAGTTAATTTAGCACAAAACTAATGACGGGACTTGTTATCCCGGTTGAATTGCCACTCAAATTTCTCATCCGCGTCCTGCATGACGCCAAGCATGTCTCGATAATGCTTCTGTGCCAGAAGCGTACGAGTAAAGAAGTACAAGGGCATGCATCGTTTGAGCCTTCCTGCCTATAGCAACTCTTCCACGTAGGCCACACCAGCGTTCTTTTCCAGGGCGAGAATTGTGTTTATCTTCGCCGCCACTTCCTCGACGGCACTGTTCGCCCGATCAACGTAGTAAGACAAATCCTTTGCTGAAACTTTCTTCTTCTTCCCTTTTGGGGGCTCGTCCCAGCTAGCTTTCATGAAACACTTGCCATGTCGATGCCCTTAAACAATTGCAATTTCACAGGAAGCTATAGAGCTTCGTCTCTCGGCATCTCTCCATCTCGCATATTGTTTTAGAGGTTTCACCCATCGAGGCAATCATCAACTGCAACGGAGGAGCCATGCCGGTTCTGGTTACCAATCTATGGGATTGAGAGATGGATGTTTGAAGCAGCTTAAACATAAGTAAGAACAAGAAACCAAAAAAACAAAAGAAAAGGCAAAATGTCGGGCTGCCCATCGAATATAATACCTGCAAATTGAATGGGAACATGGTTCTGGAAAACAACTGAAGATGCAATTTTGTCGCCTTTGTATGAAATGTGAAAGTGGCAGGTCCCCGTAGTCCTTTGCAGCAAGGCTGAAGGTGGAGAAGGGGTTGGAAATCGAATTTTTGTTACCGGAAAAATTGAGATTGTGGCTATGGCTTGTTGCAATTGAAGATCCAATCTTCTCGCCTGGGTATGCAATTTCAAAGTAATGGAGTCCAGTGAAAGAATGTTTCACGTTCGAGGTACAACCGGTAAAACTAGGCCGGTGTGGTGATTGGATTTCAAAAGAAAGAATGTGGTTGACGTGTGGTCATCTGCTGCAAATTTTTCCATCTACGCAGTAAGGGAATACACAGGCCGAATAACTGACCTGAAAAAAATACGGTGGAGGAAGGAGTCATTGCTTGTGGCCGTCGAACTTGAACATGAAACCAAAAACAAATTGGGAAATCTGAGAAGGCAGCTGCAGGTCCAGGACTTCGGTGTAGCACGACAGTAGGTGGTGCAGCGGCTGGCAATCGTTTGTTGGTTACCTGAAAAATGGAGATGGTAGCTGTGTCTAGTAGCAATTCCTTTCCAATGAGAGAGATGAATTATTTTAGTCCAGTGTCGGTGAGGAAGATTGAGGTAAGGGTAAAAAAACCGAACCTTACAACAATAAATCCTGAAAAACTTAAGTACAAGTAAAAGATTTAAGTAAAAAATATTAATAAGTAAAAAAAATTTATGTACGTAAAAAATAATAATTATTTTCAAGTAAATACTTATGTGCAAGTAAAAAATTACTTATGAGTAATATTTCACTTGTAAGTTATAAAAATTAATTATATATAGAAAAATAACTTATAAGTAAAGAAATTACTTACTAAAAACTCACTTACAAATAATAAAACCACTTAAGAGTAAATTAACATACAAGTAAGAAATTATTTATATATAAATAATATTGTAATACATTTTTTATCTTCCAATACTTTAAAGTTTTAAATTTTTCTAATACAATATAACTCCAAACCCCGTATTAAATCAATCTCCATTTTCTATCCTAAGATTATCCCTCCTAATCCTACCTTCCATAATCTTATATGGTGTAAAGTATAACGAATGGGTCTTTATTCCATATACTTATTTTTAACCACACATTCATATACTTATTTTTTCATATACTTATTTTTAATCATACATTCACACAATAAAATATTCTACACATAAATTCAAAATTTTGTCCTATTTTTTAATCACGCATTTTTCATAAAAACCACTATTCAAAACTCTATTTTTTCAAATGTATGATTGTCAAACAAGAGCTAAAAAGGTTAAGGACATAAATGTGGCACTAGGGTAGGGATATCAAAATGGATCGTCAAGTCGAGTCGACTAGTGGTTCGGAAGGGGTCGAGCTGCCTGCGTTGGCAGCTCACAGTTGCCTACAATGCATGTAGTTGTCCACAACAGCCTGCGTTGCAGGCAGCTATTTTTTTTTAAAGTTTTTTTAATTTTAATTGTATTTTTTTATATGTTAATATTAAGTTATTATTTATAATACATATAAATTGTACAAATTTTAAATTCATTAAAAAAATTAGATTTATAAAGAATTAAAAATACAGTTGCACATGAATGAAATATTTGGGACCGTAAGTGCAACAAATACAAATTAAAGGTAGGATAAAGTTGCAAAAATCTGAATCATATTTAAAGAATAAAAATAAATACGTAAATAGAGAGAAAAATATGTATATTTAATTCTCGCACCTCTGAAATCCTCGAGACGGAGGATGGCTGTCGGGTCTCATTATCATCTCCTCTGAAATCCCAACCAAAGTGAGAACGGAGCACACAAGCCCCTATTTGGGCATCAATCTAAAAAAAAAAAATACATTTTTTCAAAACTTATTTTCAACCACTTCCTCCCATAAATTAATGTTACGTGTAAACTTTTTTTTTTTAACTACACATTCGCCAAAAAATCACTATTTTAAAATACATTTTCCCCAAAAAAAAAATTTAATTTTAATAGAGCCCAAACAAATGCATAATTTCAATTCGTTCCTTAGGCTCATTTTTAACTATACATGCTTTCAATTAAAATAATTGTATATGTATACTCACAACTTTTCCTTACTTTTTATCATATTTTCTTTTTAAAAAATTACTTTGTATCAAAATCACATCTAAAAAAAAAATAAACATTATGCCCCAATTTGGGCTCCATTTTATCAAGAAAATGCATTTTGGAATAGTAGAAAGTTAGAGAATGTGTCGTTGAAAAATAAGGAAAAGTTTTGAGTTTACGTGTAAAATTATTTTATGGAATAATGTGTGATTGAAAAAATGAATTTTGAAAATAATGAGACTCAAACGCCTGTATACAAAGTTAAATATACTAATTTTGCCATTCAAAAGTGAAACTAAAATGAAAAAGGATCAAATTCAAGATAAACAGAAGAAACTAAAATTCCCAAAATATGTACATCAAATTTTTTTAAACTTCCTTCCCGAATAGTACAGATTTTAATCGAATCTATACCACTTCGGCTTTTCATTTTCCTTGACCCAAAGTACTGAACACCTTTTTTCATGGGTTAGCAGGTGAACCTTAAGCACCTCCATAGTTCAATTTACACCTATCCAAGGTTCATCGGGTTGGTATGGTCGTGCCAATCAAATCACTTCAAGTTATCAAGTCAAGTTATCGGTGGTTTTGTTCATTTGTATTTGAATAAATGCATGGCCTGTTTGTTTCATGTTATCCAATTTTATTTTTTAAACTAAGGTGCAATGGAACCGATCAAATTTGGTTTGAACTTTGTAAGTTAAGGTGAAGGCATAACACCTCAATCACTCTGCTAACAAGCTTGTATTTGAAATTTTTAACTAGAAAAAACGATTAAAAACTATAATCATGACCGAGATAGGGAATTTGCCAGAATGACTATACTCACACCGTCTTTAAACATTCAAAGGGTTATAAAAAGTAAAATAATAAGCATTCAAATGATTATTAAAGTTTATTGAATAATCAGATTTTTTGAATAAAATATTGTAAAAAAAATATTTTCAAAATTTCAAAGTAAACGTATTTTCCATTTTTTTGTTTTCAGAAACAGTTTTTCAAAATGACAAAAAGAACGCATTTTCAGCAATTTCAAAACAAACACTCAAAACAGAAAACACAAAATGAATTCAAAACTCAAAACATAAAACTGAAACACAAAGAGAACACCAACTAAAAATTCCCAAAATATGTACATCAAATTTTTTTAAACTTCCTTCCCGAATAGTATGGATTTTAATCGAATCCATACCACTTCGACTTTTCATTTTCCTTAACCCAAAATACTGAACACTTTTTTTCATGGGTTAGCAGGTGAACCTTAAGCACCTACATACTTCAATTTACACCTATCCAAGGTTCCGTTCCGGTATCCTCGACTGGCTCTACATTTTACATAATCGGATGAAGGTTATGAAGTTGCTTGGACATAGTCCATTTGTGCAGAACTTTGCCAAAAACATCATAAAACACAATCTCAACATCACTTGGTGTCATTTGAACAGACATAAAACCTTGTCCATCATAGAAAAACTCGAGGCCTTTTCTATTTTGTCCTTTAAGATCTCCCCTCCACGCCTTTGAGCCTGCTCCACTTGTCAAATATTGGATTGGGCTGCAACAAAAAGATACATATATCAGTTGCATTTTCATTTTTAATCGAAAAACCTACTATTTTGATTATCTTTAGTCCATAATTGTTTAAAGTATAATATGATTTTTTCAATCATATCATTTTTTGACAATCACATAGGATGGTCGTTGGTATGTACTAGATACGTCGGTGTAGCTGTGTCAACGAGTCGAGCCGAAACTCGAAGCTCGGGTTCGGCTTGAGCAAAAAAATGTTTGAACTTTTTTTGGTTCGAGTCGAGCAAAAGCTCGGCCAAAAAATTGAGGCTCGACCCGAGCATAGCCAGCTCGATTTATTTATTTATTTTTTTTTTTGCTTTCGTGTGAGTTGCACGCAGTAGGCAGACTTCTAAATTTTTTTTACAGGCTGAGCTCGTCCGGGCCGACGAGCCACACGGGCTAACTCGAGCTCAAGTCTTTGCCCTAAAATGGGGCTCAACCCGAGTCTGCTCGGCTCGGACTTTTCGGTTTAAGCAAGCGAGTCATTTTGTCATCCCTACGTCGATGTCATAAGCACTATGACAAAATTTATATATATTGACCTAATCGAGACAATTTATATATATTGACCTAATTGATACAAATTGAAGTATGGTGATACAACTTAAAATTGGGTCAAAGTACATTGACCGCGAATAAAATTAACTCAAATCTGACCCGTTTCTATGTTTGTTAGTTTGACTAGTTAAAAAAAATTGACGTTAAAGTATTATTATTGGCGAACTAGACCAACTATTTTATCATGTCAGTTTTTTCATTTAGCCCCTGTTATCTACCATTAAATTTTTGGAATATTGAATTTTTAAGAAAATTGTCGTTAAAAAGTAGGAAAAAATTTTAAGTTTCTGGTAAAATATTTTATTCTGAGAAGTGTGGTTGAAAATGAGTTTGAGAAAAAAAATTGAAATAATAATAGACAAACAGGGACTTAATCAAATGACGTGATGAAATAATCAGATAGTAATTAATTTTATATTCAACGATCCAATCACAACAAAGTTTAAAATAAATACCTTTGGTTATCGCTGATTTGTTCAAGACAATGGTCATGTCCATTCACGTAGAGATCAACATTGTTGGCCTGAAAATTTCATCATGAAAACACAATTCAGTTTTTAAATTACCATTGGGGAGGTATTTCAAGAAAATAACGTGACGTAACACCACTCGAATTTAGCATTAATATAAGTGACAGTAGGCTCTATATCCTACAAACGTCACCTAGACTAATGTTAAGTACGAATAATACTGCACGACATTACTCGTCTCGTTTTGTTTCCTCGAACAATACCCGGAGAATTGGAAGCAGCCGTTCTACAAGCTCTTCAGTGTCCCCATGATGACCAACACTTCTAATGGCATGATGCCCCACTACAATTTTCCATTTTGCAGTCGATTCCCTCAATGCTGATTCGAGTTCCTATTAGACCAAAGATAACCAAACAATTCAAAAAACAAAATTTTAAAAAATAATTTACAAAACCCTGGTTTACTTTTTCTAATGACCAATCTTTTGTGCCACTTCATGACATTCGGCCGTGTCCAAAAGCTACAATATTGTGCTTATGCATTGTCGCAGATAATCTACACCGATACATTAATATCCTTCGTCACATTATCTCTTATTTATCGATATAGGTAGATATAATTAACATGAAGACAAACCGACTCACTGGTCTAGAGGTGTCAATCCGGGCCGAGCCGCCAACATATGAACCCGATAACGGCCCGTGTGAAAAAAATCCCGCCCGCTACAAGTTTTGAGTCGACCCACAAATTTTAAACTACAACCCAGACCTGCCCGCTGAGCCATCCGGGTCGAGCCCATGCGGGTCACGGGTCGCGGTTTGTTTTGATTTGACACATATTATTGTATAAATAAAATTATAAAAATATAGAATTTTTCATATTTATAGCAAAAAATATTTTTTTTTTGTTAAATGTTTACTAAGAATTGAAATATATTCATAATTATATCAAGAAATTTTTACATAGAATTCAAATTTAACGTTACATGAATTATTTATAACTTTGCAA